GGCTAATAACACTTTATTAGGATTAATAAAAGAGTGTTAATCCTAATTTTGGAGCTAATAATTCAATTTTGGGGGCTAATAAATCCATTTTTTGCCGATTTTCGCCGTTTTTTCACCATTAATCATTATTAACTAATTACTAATAATTACTTTGAATAAGAACATTTTATTAGGACTAATAATGGGCTATTAATGCTAATTTTGGGGCTAATAATCCTAATTTTGGGGCTAATAAATCCATTTTTTCTGTCGATTTTTGCCATTTTTTCGCCGATTTTCATCATTTTTTCACCATTAATCATTATTAACTAATAAGTAATAATTATTGTGGCTAATTAAATTTTATTAGGACTAATAACAGCCTATTAATCCTAATTTTGGTGCTAATAATTCCATTTTTGGGGCTAATAAATCCATTTTTTGTCGATTTTTGCCATTTTTTCACTGATTTTCACAATTTTTCCACCATTAATTACTATTAATTAACAACTAATAATTATTGTGGCTAATAACAGTTTATTAGGACTAATAACAGCCTATTAATCCTAATTTTTATGCTAATAATCCTAATTTTGGGGCTAATAAATCCATTTTTTTGCTGATTTTCACCGTTTTTTCTGCGATTTTTGCCGTTTTCCCGCCATTAATAATTATTAACTAATAACTAATAATTACTTTTTAATTTTGGGGCTAATAAATCCATTTTTTGGTAGATTTTTGATGTTTTTTCACCAATTTTCGCCCTTTTTTCGCTATTAATTATTATTAATTAATTACTAATAATTATTGTGGCTAATAACACTTTATTAGTACTAATAATAGCCTATTAATGCTAATTTTGGGGCTAATAATGCTAATTTTGGGGCTAATAAATCCATTTTTTGGTAGATTTTTGATGTTTTTTCACCAATTTTCGCCCTTTTTTCGCTATTAATTATTATTAATTAATTACTAATAATTATTGTGGCTAATAACACTTTATTAGGATTAATAATAGGCTATTAATCCTAATTTTGGGGCTAATAATTCAATTTTTGGGGCTAATAAATCCATTTTTTTGCCGATTTTTGCTGTATTTTCACGGATTTTCACCATTTTTTCACCATTAATTATTATTAACTAATAACTAATAATTACTTTGAATAATAACATTTTATTAGGACTAATAATGTGCTATTAATCCTAATTTTGGGGCTAATAATCCTAATTTTGGGGCTAATAAATCCATTTTTTCGCCGATTTTCGCCGTTTTTTCACCCATTTTTCGCTATTAACGGTTATTAATTAGTCATTAATTAACGATCCGGGCCAGGGCTGCGCGGGCTGATGCTGGCCGTGGTGCTGGCCGCGCTGATGTCGTCGCTGGCCTCCATCTTCGCCAGCTCGGCCGCGCTCTTCACGCTCGACGTCTACAGGAGGGTGCGGCCGGGGGCGGGGCCACGGCACCTGCTGCTGGCCGGCAGGTGAGGGGGCGGGGACACCTGGGACACACCTGGGGGCACCTGGGACACACCTGGGACAGGTGAGGGGGGCGGGGACACACCTGGAACACACCTGGGGGCACCTGGGGACACACCTGGGACAGGTGAGGGGGGCGGGGACACCTGGGACACACCTGGGATACCTGAGATACCTGGGACACACCTGATACACCTGGGGTACCTGAGATACACCTGGGATACACCTGGGGTACCTGGGATACACCTAGGGCACACCTGGGATATCTGGGGCACATCTGGCACTCACCTGTGCAGCTGCAAACGCACCTGGGTTAGGGGGGGACACCTGGGACACACCTGGGGTACCTGAGATACCTGGGGCACACCTGGGGTACCTGAGATACACCTGGGGCATACCTGAGATACACCTGGGGTGTCCCAGGTGTGTCCCAGGTGTGTCCCTCACCTGCCCAGGTGTGTGCTCACCTGTCGGAGGTGTAGCCGGCGCGGCAGGCGCAGGTGAAGCCCCGGCTGTGTCCCAGGTGTGTGTCTCACCTGCCCAGGTGTGTGTCTCACTCACCTGTCGGGGGTGTAGCCGGCGCGGCAGGCGCAGGTGAAGCCCCGGGTGTGTCCCAGGTGTGTCCCAGGTGTGTCCCAGGTGTGTCCC